TTATTTCAATTGTTCATTCTCAACTTAAAGCTGGTGCAAATAATCACTGGAAGTCATTGTGATTTCAATTATGATTACAGTAATAGTGATTCCACCCATCAAGCAACTGTCACTGTAGTTATGGAATGAGGTGGGCATCATGGATCACAGACATACACTAAAATATACAATAAAGCATAAATAATTATTAAATTTTAACCATTAAACAATAGAAACAAACATAGATCCTTTCTATTGCTTGATCTATTGATCTCATTAAAGTTCCCGATGCGCTGTGTGTGTTAAGAAAAGCGTCTGTGAAAAAGTGATTTTGCTGATTTTCCCATGACTGCAACATTTCCCTCTCATTATGTTTGCCCTTTGACTGACTCAGTTCAAGCCGTAATGCCTTTGGCCTCTGGTGTCAACCCACTACTTAGTAAGAACCCCTCCCCAATCCACTTTGGCCATCATTACATGTTCACTCCAATATTATTAGAACAGAGGTGAAAGAATACCACAAGCCACAACGGTTTTAGTCAGTTTAGTTACTACTAGGCCACAATAATTACTGTATCAAATTATCAAATATATGAAAGCTGAAACAATATATTTTGGAGTTTAGTATTTAGCGTGTCACATATTTGCTACAATAATGTGGAGACTTCTGCTATTTCTTAATGCTTTTCCTCTGCAGCAAAATATCATGCTTGAAAAAAATATCACAAATTTGTAATAGTTAAACCAAAATATTGACTTCAGTAGGTCTAGTTCTTATATAAACACCACCTTCTTTCACTGCTACCAACCTCACAACCTCATCACTAGGTTTCAGTTTTGTTCTTTTGTTCTTTTGTTTTTTCTGAGTTGCCATGATGAAGTGCATGGTGATGTGCTTAGGTTTTGCAATGGATGCCCTTCCTGTCCTAACCAACCACATAGCCTATACTACATGTGACTGGCATACAGAATATTGGTGACTTGGTGACTTGCCCCAGGGCACAATGGCAGTACGCTTGGATGAGGTTTTAGTCAATCCAAATAATTAAACTTTTGCACCTCTGTGACCCATACTACTGATTTCCGGATGATCATTACTTCACCACGAGTAGCCTGCTACAAATACTACCAGCATTGTCACTCTACTAAGATCTCAAGTAAAAATATATCTTCTGATTTACATATGTATATTACATTTACACAATAGAGATTTAACTGTTTAAAGGATCAATACAGAGCAGTACAATAGTTTGAAAACAGCACAAGCTCAGTCCGGTGAACCCAAAATAACCTCAGAATACCAGTCCCTGACAGGCAGCGGCCCATCTGAATCAGTAAAATGGTAGAAGAAGAGTAGAGAAAGGAGACATAGGATAAAACGTGTGTCCCTTGGAGCATCCTCACCCCTGCACTGCCTTCCCTGTCCTGTCCCTCACTGGTTGCAAGCCAAGGCCAGCACAGACAGACAGCTGCTATTAAACCCTGATTGTTTCAGGTTCAGCGAGTGTGAAAGGGCCTGATTGAGGGGCTGTGATCCCAGTGAGGGTGGTCCGAGGTGGGGAGGGGGGGGTCTAAGGTGGGAGGGGGGTCAGCGGAGGATTGCAGGGCGTCACGTGACACTGGTTTCTTGCTGAGCGGCCCAAAATGGAATCTGGACAAAAACACACCACTTGTTGCTGCCTGCCGACATCGTGTGACCTGAAAGTGGGCCAGCCCTGAGATAATTAATGTTAGGTGTTTTTTTGTTTTGTTTTTCATTATGACTTATGCAAATAATATTATAATGTGGAGGTAAAAGTAAGGATGAAGACAGAAAACTTGTGCCTGGGGGTCAACACTCTTTATGTCCTTCCTTCTGCCAGTCTGTCCATTTACTGGGCTATATTTAGAAGATTTTACTACCAGCTAGGGATGATGTGTTTTTTTCCCTCCTTTGATCGATCATTATTTTCTATGGCATTATATTTTGTCTTATGAATGCCCCAAACACACACACACACACACACACACACACACACTTTTACTGTAAACCTCTTGATTACAATGACAAGTATATTATATATATTATATTTTATATTATAAAATGTAAAAAGTAAAATGATTGACTACTATCAGCATATTATATTATTAGTTCATATGCATAAAATACAGAGGAACTTAACAGTAGTAAGTAGTAAGATGGTTTAGAGAACATTTTATGGACATTGGATTATAATTTTTAACTATAACACTACAATAAATTCATCTATAATAACAACATTAATGCTATTGCTCCCATACATCAACCAATATACTACAGTTTTAATACAAAATACTGCAAATTATTTCAAATATGATACATTACTGTATATTTGTGACTCATCATATCAAGTATAGTAATACGACATTGGCTTTTGTGGACTATTTCTTGCCCCACACAAGACATGTCCCTGTACTGTATTCATCCTGCCTTATCACAGCTGATATAGGCCCTGATAACACCAGGCTGGCCCCTCCCTCTCTGCTCTATTTGTTTAAGAAGAATTCCCATTAGGAACCTTTTGGCCATATACCACACTTTATACACTGCAGCCAGAGCAAGGAAGCACCCTGTGGAGTCTTTCACACCTCACCAATGAACGAGTACACTTCCCTCTCTGCTCACTTTCCTCGAGCAACTGAAAGAACCAATCAGAATTTGCAGCTTTTAAGGTACAAGAGAAGTATGACTTAAGGTCTCGGGAGCTTAACAATAAAAAACAAAAAACAAAAAAAAACAACAACACATACATAGCAATGGTTACAACTACTTGAAGATGTCAACATCAGCATCGTGTGCACTGATTTACTCCACTAAAAGTTTTAAAGGTGTAAAATTGACTGTTGTGAACTTTAGGCCATCACAGACCTGGAGTTGTGTTTTCTTTCATTAGTATGTTTGAGTAAAGCTTTATTATTAGTCTGTCTGTATCTCCAAAGCTCAAAATGCTCTGTTCCACCTGATGATGTCATAAGTAGTTTTCAAGTTCCGAATGATTCTAGTGAAGATGTATGAAGTTTAAAAACATGGTGGAGCACTTCCTGCATTAGCACATGATCACAAGGTGGAACAGAGTGTTTTCTGTTTGAGAGAAGAACTCAGCCTAAATATGCAGGATTTGTGTAATAAACATGTGTTAATGAAGCAAAACACAACTCCATGTTGTATGTTTGTGATGAGGAAAACAACATTATAACATAGATCAGAAAATAGTGTACTATAGACCCTTTAAGTAATACTGGAATAATTACTATTATTACATCTGCTGGAGGAGCTGGAGGACGTGTCTGGGGTGAAGGAAGTCTGGGAGTCCCTGCTTAGGCTGCTCCCCCCGCGACCCGGCCCTGGATAAGCGGACGAAAATGGATGGATGGACATCTTTTCTATTGGTTTATCCTACTACTACAGCCAGTTAGAAATCCAGCTCCGTCTCCTCTTGACAAAACTATTTAAACAGATGCTGACCTCGTAGTTACTGACGCAGCTAATTAGTCATTTCTATACCAACTATGCACCCTGTAGCAAGTTGAGGACCTGTTTAATAGATGGCTATCATACATTTGCTAATATCCCGTGTTTGCTGGTGATGATGCTTTCATTCTGTGTGAGAGCTTGAGTAAACAGACTGTGCGTTTGTGTGCTCACCACTTCTCACTGTCACTGTGGAAGACATAAGGCTTTGGGTAGTCCATTGAGTCCAGTGTTGACGCTCTTTAGTCCCTACACATCCACTGCATTAAGAGCTGCTGCTAATCTCCGCACATTAGTTAATACACTCCCACTGCAATGATTAGATTACACATATTGACACTAAAGAGACTTATATAAATTGTACAGTAATATGCAGTATAATAGAATAAAAATGCTGCTCCTAATTTTGCAATGCTAAAAATATATTCCCCTGACCTGCAAACACTGAAACATTAATGCCCTTTACGCTGAACCACAAAACTGCTGGAGCATTATGGAGAGGAATGTACTGCTTTATTCTCAGTGGCCAAAAGTAGATTCTTTGACCTGTGTCTCAGAATGGTAGCCCTTATTCATATTTTATTACTGTTTCACTAAAATGCTCATTTACTTCTAACTATTACAGACGTTTCCTGTAATTTTGACCTGAAAAATTCACATTTGGGAATGACACAGGCACATCGAGCATTATAATCACAAACCTCCCTGACAAATCTGCACTCTGCTGTCCGTTCTTTGTCGTGTGCAGTCAGAGGATGTTGTTTGTGGGTGTCCTACTGAAACTCACATTTGGAAAAGATATTGGCACCTCAAGTATGTCAGGTTACAAGAAACAGCTGTTCCCGGGTGGCCCAGCGACCCTGGGCTGCCTGAGCCAGATGATTTCAAAACTTACTGGCAGCAGCAGGAGCACCAGCTCTTTACCAGTGTACAAGCAGAGAGCAGACAAGCACAACACCACAGCTATAGGCCTAGAGTTTGACCTGCAACCTAATCATCCCAAACTACTGAATCATCTGAAACTACTGCACATAATATTAGTATAGTCTATTGTGACTACAGTATTACATTTAGACATTTTGTTTAACTGCCTCTGTTTTGTTGTTTTTTTATTTTGATAAAGTATGGAACTTTTAAATCTTAATAAATCCTCTAACTTCAAATTATTCCGTGTTATGCAAGTTTCCAATAAACAATAGCATTTAACACCTTCAAGTAATCCATTCCCTGCCAGGAAACATTAGCATACGCAGTACAGAGTCAATAATAAAACGTCTGAATTAATACAAGTTAATGACCCCTGTTTGACACCAAAGGTCAGCCAATCCACTGTACCATCATCAAACGCATTCAAAGTACATTTTAGGTCATTTCAACTACGAACTAGGAATTCTTCCCTATCAGATAGTAAAAACATGTCCCTACTTTTATTAGTTCTAAATGAGCTACTTGTGCATCAGCGAGAGAGACAATGTGTGTGATAAAAAACAAACAAACAAAGAAAAACCCTTTATAACAGAGGCGTGCTTACCTTAGCTTCATGCAGTGATGTTGTGCATTAAACTTTCTTTCTGACTTGTTTCCCAGAATACGTGGAGGGGAGCAGGGTCCAAGAAAGGCTGTGAAAGTTTCCAGTTAGGAGCCCCCCGCTCTTCCCTCGCCTCTGTCTTACTCCTTCTTTCTCCGGTTACGATCAGATGGAGATGAAAAACACCGCTTTATCCTCGTTTCACACGCGTTTCTCTTCCATCGCTGTTTTAGTCACTTTACGCGGACGGGACCAAACCGAAGCCCATGTTCGTCTCTGGAGTCCCGCACAGCGCCCTGGAGTGAGTTGTTCAGCCAATGCGGGAATGCTGCACCCCCTGCTCCCCTCCCTCCTCCTCCCTTTCTCCTCAGTCTGTGGACCACCCCGAAACAGGAAGTTCACTTTTTGTTTTTCTTAAAAAAGTCCATGCTACTTTTCTTATTGTTATAACAACTTTTACGCACGGAGTGAACGAAACATGATGGCCTCATCTTTTTAAGGTTTGTCTTGTCCGTTTCAAAAGCGTGCACGTTTATTTAATTGAAACAAAGAGTTATATAAAGACATGATGTCCCACAGTCGTGCTCACAGCACACACACATAGACACGGCGCTGTCCATATGAAATGATCCTGAATGAAATGGTGTATCTATGAATAAAAGTGTTTCCTTTAATGCTGTAACTTCACAGCAGCGTGTGTGGCTGCCTGCGACGTGTGTGGATCCTGGTGTGGATGCTGCAGATCTGCGCTCCGATACTTAAGTCCAACACAAAACAAGGACTGGAGTTAACTTCGCTGGACCGGGAGCAAAGCAACAGGTTTGTCCCAGTACAAATTGGATTAGCAATTTGCGCATTGTTACTGTCATTTTGTGAAGCCGCAGTTTATATGCAACCGGATTCCAAACTGTATGCCTGATCTTAAACTAGGTTATGCATGCCTAATTAGCCTACAATTAGCACATTCATTCAGCATAGAATATTAAAATGAACAGACTCTTTCATTGCACCAGGATGAGTAATGAAAGCTGTGTGAACAGTAGCTGACCTGAGAAGACGCTGGTTTATTGATGACTCGCTGATCTTAGATCAGATTTTGTGAATGAGAGTCAGGGATTGACGCTGAAATCCTACTGCAGAAGGACAGACGCTGAAACATATGCTCCATGTCTGTGTTGAGTCCAGGCTGCTGCTTTTATCAATGGCAGGATTACAGGTGAGCAGCAGGGGCAGGTGCACACGCTGTGGTGCATAATGTGTGTGTTTTCTGTTATTCCTGACGGTTACAACAAGTTTAACAAACTTACTTCACCACAAATATGTTAATATTAATGTTATATGTGTTTATTACCCATCTTATCAACTAATCAACTACTTAAGAACTACAATTAACTGCAAAACAAAATTTTATTCGAGCTACTGGACAAAAGTTTTTTGTCACCTTTTTTTTGTTTTGTTTGTTTGGTTGTTTGTTTGTTCTGCTCTGGAACATTGTATAAACATTACATCAGAGGAACATATTTGATGTATAGTATCCAGAGTAAGGCTGTGAAGATAATGGCATTTTAATCAAGACATGAGATTCAGTTGTCTCTAGTCATTTATGATCAAGTAAATGGTCAAAAGATAAAAGTTATAAATGTCTCTTAGTAAAGCTCCTAGCTAACACACTACAAGACAAATTAGACTAAAACACACATTCAAACACCTGGTTAGGAAACTTAAACAGAGCAATGAGAAGATGCTGGCAAATTTAAATGCATTTTGCTGATAATACAATTTATTACAATACTGCATAGCACCTGATGTCTTTGTGACACTGGGATTAGACAGAGAGTCAGTGTGGTAGAATGTTTGTGGAGAACGGGGCAGTGGTCAGAGTGAGAGAGCAGAGAAAGGTTCTGTTCAACTCTGAGCAGCTGGGCAACACTCCTTCACCAGCTAAACCACTACATCTCTGACAGGATTTGAGGATTTGTTTTTCCATTGCAGATGGCAGTGCACATGTTTTCATGTCATTGGCCCGGGGTCCCAGAGCTGCAGCTTTGCAGAGCTACATATAAGTGTGCAGTGAACACCAACCTCAGCTCCACCTGTGTGTTCTGAGTGAATGAGGCAGGACACTTGAGACAGAACGACAGCAGCAGCAGCAGAAAAACTTCTCTCTAATGGAGCATGGACAGGTATATTTTGCCTTGGTGACGTGACAGTTTGGTGAATTTATAGTGTTATAGTTTTTATAAGTTTTTGTCTTTTCTGTTTTGATGAGGATTGCATTTGCACTGTAGAAGTCACAAACCCATGTAACCCACAGTGCTATTTTACATGAATCTTTTAATATTTAAGAATCCAGTTCAAGTTAGAACATGCTTTTCCTGGGATAACTGCAGCTAAAGTTTTAGTTCAATGGCAGTAAAATCAAAGTTGTAGTCATCATTTGCACTAAATGGTAACAAGGTCGTGAAAAAATAAATATGATTTAACAATAGCATCTATACAACCACTGAGGTTGTTTTATTCATTAAGGATCTCCCTTCTTTCTCTTCAAGCCACTCTGGTTTCTTGCCAGCATTTTAGTTTCACTACTGTGCAGATTACACATTTTTAAGTGAAGCAGTAGCACTATGTTACCTCTACACCAGATGGCAGCATTGCACAAGACAGACAGAACGATCCCAGAACTTTTTAACATCAGTAACATGTCCTAAGACCGGGAAGGTATATACTTTTGGACATTTTAATATCTTACTTTCTTTATTTACTTTAAATACTAGCATCGGGGGAGTAGGTAATAATCAAAAGTAACATGCAATTATTATCATATCCGTAGTTAATTCCCAAAATCTGGTTATTTATTTATTAAATTATTTCCCCTAAAAATGTTTTTCATACTTCAGTCATTTTACTTTTGGTAGTTAGATTTGATAACAATCCTACAGTTTAAGTGGATTGTGTGGAAAAATAATTGATCCCAAATTATCAAGTGTCATCAGTGTAGATTCTGAAATGTAAATGTGTGCAATCACTCACTCTTCCCAAGTAAGTCTATAAACAACAGCAGGTGTCGCTCTCTGCTTCCTTTGGCTCTGAGATAGGATTATTCTATATGTGAAGTTTCAAATGATCATAGCTACTCTTGTGTGCATAATATTACAAATGAATGAAAAGTAATGTATGAAGTCAACATAATCTATAAATGTCAAATATAAATCTTGTATATTTGATTATTTTGTGGTTGCCATGTAACATCGCATGGCTTCAGCCTTTGACAGAATTAGGTCTACGCAGGAAATGGTGTGGTATAAGACCTGAAAGAGAGGTGAGCTGAAGGAAGAGCACTCCTGTTAATTCCCTGAGCTGTGCTGGGGCATGCTTCTGCGGATCACCACTCACCACGTTCAATACAACCTATTTTCTCATGAACAGAAACAGATGCAAGCACTGCTACAGGAACCAGGCAGGGAAAACTAAACTTAACTAAACTTAAACATTCAATTTAAGTGCTTGCATGAAACTGAAAAAACACTCACTTCTTATTCAGACTTGTACATATACAGTAAGTGTTACAATGAAAATCAACAATAGTAATTATCACAGCAATCAAGAATGTTGTTTATAGGATTTACTGCATGCAGCAAGACCTATTAGAACTATGTTATGTTTTTACCAGGTTATGCTGTTGTTGAACAACAGCATAACATGGCATGGAGTTGGTGCTGGGTTGTTATACAAACAGGCCAATATTATTTAGTACAGATGGGGTTGGCTAAATTAATATTGTTAAAAGGCAGATTTTTGTAACATAGTGAGCTTTTTGGCCTAGTCAATAATAGAAATTATAAGGTCAAAAATTTGTGCATGAAACATTTGTGATTTTGTGCATTTGTGCAAATAAAACTGACTCTTGCCCTCCATCTGGGACTATGACATCATCACATTAGAATCTGAAAATCGCCAATTGACAACGTGGCCCAATTTGACTTTAGACTTCAGACTTTACTGTCCCCAGGCCACTTCTTTTTCATAAACACTGAGCTCATTTGACACATATGCAAACAGACAACAACAACACAGCACAATACACAGACACATTAAAATACACAAAATGACACTGCACTGAGCGGGGCCTGTAGTTCAGAAATGTGATGGCTGAGGGGATGTATAACCTCTGCTCTCCATGTCATCAGTCGGCAGAGAGATCCAGTTCTCGGGCTGCTGTGGGTTGCTGAGATATTCACTGTTATGGAGTGAGTTGACGAAGGATGAAAAAAAAAAAGAAATAACAGGGAAAAATATATATTATTTTAATCACACATTTGTTGTTGTGAAAAACAGCCATATTCAATACAGGAGAAAAGTTTGTATTGAGTTTGTGCTTATGTAGTATGGTTATTTTTAAAGCAACAAACCCTAGTGTCCTCAATCTGACTGAATACAACTACAGACCGGCAGACATATAGTACCTCCATATAGTACCTCCAGCACACCCTGCTTCAGGGCGTCAGCATGGCATGGCATTAAACAATTGAGAAATATCATTTTATTTATTTTATTTTTTATTTCAAACCTGCATATGACACAATTTACAGCAGAATGACTTCTTTTCTGGAGGAGCAAAAATCATTTTCTGGGAAATGTAACTTCCCTCTGGAAACCATGACTTGTAATACATAAAGTCCTTCCTTGTGTGTTTTCAAGTATTAAGTCACCCTTTAACATACAGCTCTTAGTTGCCATTCAGAGTTAAGACTATGTGTGAATAGGTGGTAAGTCCAATAATCAGAATGGTATTTGCTTGTCCACTAGTATTTACTGTCCTATTCTGTCACTATTGCTTATTGAGAGTAACACTGAAAAGTCTGTTTCTTGCTCTAAGTTCAATATCAAAAAGCTATTATGTGTCCACAAAATTAGCAACAAGACTCTATACTTTCACACTGAAAGAGCTGATCTGTTTTTTTCAAACAATATACTTCCAACAGTACTGATACTGATTGATTTATATGATCAGTGACAGTGAGCTCTGATGAGTCTGAAGATAGCATAGCATGGTGACAATATGGCTGATAATGTGCACATGCTGATCTCTTCCATTCTGTTTAAGTGTGAAATGTTTTGTTGTGTTTTGTAGATCCCAAGTCTTCCGGGAACTGCTGTGGAGACACATCTTTGCCGCTGTCTGTACTTTTCAGAACCTTGTCATCGCAGGTATTGGCCTCTACAACCATGATTAAACAATTTGGGTGTAACATCTAACAACGGGTAATGAGATATATAGTCATACTTTGCCTGCTTGTGTCGTAGCAGCATGTTCTGTTGTGGAGATTAAACTGTCGATGAACTGTAACACGCTTTCGACTGTCTTTTGTTTGCCAGATTTATAAGACGGGTGCGGTGCCAACAGCCTGAATGGTCCAATGAGCTACGCCTAAGGATTCAAAACGGCAAGTGCCAAGAAGCATCGACATGTGCTGGTAAGTACAATTTATTACTTCATGAAATGGCTGTAAGGCATTCAAAGTCTGAGTGACAGGGTTTAATACAGTAAATACAGAGGGAAGCAAGCACAATATACAAGCAATCCCGTCTAGTCCACTGGGCTCTGATAAAAAAACAGCAATAAGCATCATCAAGCTGTTTTGGTTGGCCATTATTGAAATCTATATAAAGCACAAATGCACATTACAATAATCAAGCAATCAATCATTAGAACAATCATGTACTTTGAGCCTACTAAGCTAAGGTATATTCACCACTTATTCACAAGGGTCAATTCTCAAGGGTCCATATCAGAGACTGTAAAATATAGACCACCAGAATCTAAATACTAGTCCTACTGGTAATATTACTGCTACCACTGCTGGTAATACAACAAAATAAATGTTAAAAAAGAAATTGGCTGATCTGGTGAGACAAAATCAAGCCAAGATTCTCTGTATTCAACCATGTTACGGTTATGTGCGCCTGGATGAGAATCTCAACAAACAGTCCCTGGTGTTAGCCAAGCACATGACGGTGGTGTGAGCCTGGAGGAAACTGTTGGGTAACACGACTATTCTGATGTAACATAGATTTAAAACAGGTAAGTGGGTCTGGCGTAATGGGATCAGCCTGTGGATTTAAAAGTTATTTGAAGTTCTGAGCGAGGAACACTTAACATTACTTTCTCACAGGCCACTCTTAATCATCTCATCTCTTAAGAGCTCATGGCTGAAGGCAAAAGGACTATCTGTTTAAAATGTCCCCACTATAACAAAATGGCCTAGTCTGATTATTTGTATTTATTTATTTTTTTTAGAAAGTACCAGATGCCTTTAATAATGCAATCATATCTGTTTTAAAACTGTACAGATATATGATCCATCAAGGCTTTAAAGAAAGACCACAAAATAAACTTCGCACCATGAGTATCTTATAACACAAACTGAAAAGAAAGCCAGTAGCTCCAATTTAATTAGCACAATAACATTTCTGAAACTGTTAACTGACTAACTAACTAACATGAGGTCTGATAGAACAGATACTATGTTGATAAATGATCTGAACAGTCTATAGTTTAAGTTGCTCATCATCACTAATCATCTTCAATGTCATTGCTTACAGTTTACCTGGTCCAGAAGAGAGTGTCCTGTCATGACTCCACCACGCAAGATGAGTGACGGCCATCTTAGCATCCTGGTGGATTTGTGGGATTGTGAGTGGAGTGAAGGATTAGGGCTTTAGTGGCACATGGTAAACAGTAGCTCTGTGGGTCAGTGTGTCAGTGTATCAGTAAGTCAGTAGGCTTTCTTTTCTCAGTAGTAGGTCAGTACGTGGCCATCACCACAAGCAGCCTGCTTGGGCCTCTCATCTAAACACCACGCCATTAGACTCTGTTGCATATTATTGTCATTTATTCAGCATTAATTACTCACATACTCAATATTCAAATGTAAAAATGTCTTGCCCAAAGAAAAAAATAAAAGTATGCAATGTTTAGAGCTGGGATCAAACCTTTGGACTGTGGAAAAATGCTCTTGTCTAACCAGTGAGCCACTTGCATAGAATAAATTCCACTTACTTTGGGTGCACTATGTAACTTTTCTGGTGTAGGGTCCACCATCTGCTTTTTCAAGGAGATGCTATTGCCTTTTCTAGAATGTTTCACAGTACCTACAGGTCAAATCTGTGGAGAGGCAACTGTGCTCACAGCTACAAGCCCTGTTAACTCTAATGCCATACTATAGAACATTCCATGTAAGCAAAATATCACCATGGAGACAAGCATGTGTCCCCGCTCCAAAAATTACACAGTGCAACATATATCAGGTAATCAACATATGATAATGTATAATACATGGTTGAAATGTGATGTTATGTGATATCTAATGTTGGATTCTTTTCTGTGTTTTTTATTATTAGGTTGTCAGTCTTTATGGTTTCCTGTTCAATGATCAAGATGTCAACAAACCAACTGAAGGTAGGACTTTTTTTTCTTAGAACATAAACTTTATTAACTTATGAAGCCAGATATCATATAAAAATTGCATCAGTTTACATTGTCTGGTTATAGTCCATTTTGGATGGTGAAACCTCCATTCACCTCCTGGCTGGACAGGGGGTGTTGCCAACTTTGGCATGGGGTCAAAATGTTCAAGTCAATTGTCAAACAAACATCAGTGTGGTCAAAAAAGTGTTTATGTTTAACAATATAGGTTATGCAAGCCTAATTAGGAAAATCAATTAAGATGAACCATTGTCATTGTTTGACAGAAGCCCATATGAATTCATAGGAGATGCAAATGGCGGTGTGCCAGGAGAATGTGACAGCTGTTGACCAAACAAACACAGACGGTCCATAAAGCCACTTCGCTGTCTGAAAGAGCAAGCACAGCCTTTGCCCTACAGACTCACTGCCAGGAGCCATGCCGGGCCACTTTCTCAATGTGAAATTTGGATATCTGATATTAGGACTGTCACAATCACTTTTATTGACTTATCTTTCAATAAATGACAGATGGAACAAAATATTATTGGGCTCAATATTTATCGTGTGTGCATTTAGTTTGCACTATTATTATTATTATTGTAGTACGATAAAGCTTGAGTTACTGCTACAAACTCATAAAATTGGATACAGAGATTATACTGCTTTAATGATGCTAGATTATCCTGATGGATTATTATGTCAGTGCTATAGATTAAATATTATGATTAATTGTGATTTTCTGTAACAATACTTAAAGGGGCGGCACATGAGAAACAGAATATATTGTGGAGGGCTGGGCCAAAATGCTTGACTAAATTCTGTATAATATTGATTGTATTTCTTTATTTAATAAAAGCAGTAAATAGTATTGTTTTGACAAGATGGTAAGACTGGTAAAAGTATATGTTATGACTAAGCAATGAAAAAGTGAGGTTGCCTTATAAAAAAAATATTTTAAAAACACAACACACCTCTTGAATAAAAGCAAATTCTTTAGTCCATTCATGAGGTAAAATTATAAAATATGTTTATTTTATAACTCCAAATGATCTTCTACAGGCTGGTCAGAGTCAACCAAAGGACCAGTTGTGGCCCAGGAGCTGTTCAGTGCCCAGGTCGGATCTAAAATCTTCTCTTCATAATTAAATTTTTTTCCAGGTCTATCTGAAATAATCATCACAATAATAATTAACAGCTGTTGCTTAATGATACCTATTCAAATTATGAGGTATTCTGTTTCTAATGCATTTATCATAAGAATCTGATAATGTTCATATAGTGCTGATTGACAAGGATTTATTTATCAAAATACATTTTTTTTTTCAGTTTGAAAACTTGTTCATACATATACACATTATACACTCAAAACATAGCATTATATAAAAATAAACATACACTTGAACGTGAACAATGACACAACCTTTACAGCAAACATTCGGTTTATTATGTACATGCTTAGGCAGCAGCCCCCTGAGTTTAAAATAGGTTTTAACATTATATATTAGGAAGATAAAGTGCTTTCTACATTGTCTCACTCTCTTACATTGCATTGAGTGCTTACTAAGCTAAGTTGTATTTGTCAAGTTGTACTTCTGAAACTGTTGATAGTGTGTAAATGTTTTGAATAGATTTGAATATATCTTAATATTATGATAGAGATACAGACAGAATTGGCCACGTGCAGTAGTGCAGGGCTGTTCAGTATTTGCCTGTGAATCAGGGAAGTGTCCCTGGGTTCATACCGTGTCAGGACTGTTACCCAACTGATTAAATGTGCAAATATTGCTGATGGGAGCATGGGCTACCCAGCAAGATTAAACCAGCTGGAATACAACAAACGCTATTGTCTAATTTAAGAGGATAGGCACTAGGAAATGGACTGCTATTAAGTGTCACAGAAGTGAACACATCTCTTTGGTCTGAATGTGCATTTGAAGGCACCATCCCTTAAAACCTTCCTGGGAAGTGGTTCCTGAATGGTGGGTGAGGACCCAGCAATTAAAAAGAAAAAATGCAAAACATTGTAACTGTAAAATGTTACAAATATGTTCAAAGAAATCAACATAAAGTAGCTCACTGTATAAAAATAAGCAACCCAAAGCCTTTCAGTCACAACTGTTAAATGTAAATTATCATTGTGTACCAAACACATAATATCAGAAATGTGTCCAAAACATTTGAGGGTATCTCAGCAAACACATTATGAACTGTATCTAGCAGAGTGTACTAAATACTTAAAGAGATTGTCAAAGCAGCATTAGTTAGTGGAATAAGTGTGGAATAAGAATAAGTGAATAGAAGAGTCTACAGAAAAACAAGGTGAATGCAGGTGAAATCAGTGGACTTGTAGTTGTTGACTACTGTCACTGTAACTTGCTATTTGGCTGCATTGACTATGTTTTAGTACTATTGTAATGACACTGCCATGAGTCTATGTGCATCCGCAGGACTCCACAATCATGTCAGGCACGTCTGTTTTGACAATGCTATGCTGAGAATTGAAATAGACCATGGAAAGTGGGCGCCGCTCAGTAGGGATGCAACATGAGGAGATGGCTGTATGGATGCCATTGACTTTGAGCTGGCTGAACACTGTGGCATGAAAGGAAGAGGCAATGCCTGGAGAACCAGACAGGTGCTGAGGACACTGGCCCATACAGTAGTTCATGTGATAACCCTCAGGTGCAATGATCCAGTCATGCCACTGGATGTCTTTGAACTTGATGTAGAAATCTCTCTTGCAGCACACAGTGACATCATTCCCACAGCGCAGAGAACGCTTCCTGAGTGAGCGTTTGCTGTGGTCATCACGTAAGCGCACCTGAGCCACCAGGAAGGGCTGGAAGGGGGTGTCCCTTGTCCTTTCCAGAGAGCAGAGGTTCTTGCCATTTTCCTCACAACTAACCTCAAACAAAAGCCTGTGTTGGCCACCATCCAGAAAGGTCTGCAGTGTGCGGGTGATGGGGAAAGTGTGCCAGTTACTGTTCTTCACTTCCAACATTTGCTCTATAACCAGGCTGCGGTTAGAGCCCTGCTGGCCCTGATCTGCGGAGAGGAAGACCCTAGCAGGCAGGCGGGAGTCTCTGTAAGGGTCCTCAGAGGAGCGCACGTAGATCCACAGAGAGGCCTGCAGCACCTGGATACTGTGGCCCTGCTCCTGGAGGAACTGAAAGGCAAGCTGTAGGCTTGCATCCTCAGTACTCCGAGTGTCATCTGTATCAGAGAAAGACATGTCAGCACTCACTTGACAATACTATTTATGACACAAATTAGAGGTTTTCACCACCTTTGTTTTGCCATACATCATGTACACATGTGAAACATCATGTATCTACACACACAAACACACACCCACACACATATTCATGAATTACATAAATTAATAAGCTTATGCTATACGTGAACAGAATTAACTTTTGCCATTTATTGCACTTACTTATATCTGCAAAGCTGACTATTTCATAGCCTTGGTCTTTGAGAGGTAATCTGTTGTCCAGCTCCAGTGTCCCATCCTGTCTGACGCGTCCTGAGTACAGTTTGCGCAGCGCAGTGAGAAGCGCCGCACGAGGCACGGTTTGAGTGATGTTTGGTCTCTCTTTCAGGTGCAGTTTGTCTAAAAGTTGCTGCTTGGCGAATTCCACCATGAGCCTTTCTTCTACATCCTTTTCCAAACTACAGGACACGCATCCGGAGGAAACATCAACTGCCAGAATTGGCGTAAGAAGAAATAACGCAGAAAGGATCGATAACGTCATGTTAGAGAAGTGAATAATATCTGCCTCAATCAAAGGCAAAATGTATGAAGAAAAAAAAGTTTCTTTCTTTGATATATGATCTTGTAATGATGAAAAGTGTGTCCTCTTGACAGCTGCTGTCCGTGAAGAGTGAAGTTTGGAGAAAGGTGTGCCCTTTACACTCCCGATGAAGAAGATATCTGGGGTAATCCACCAAAACTGGTGACACGTTGGAGGGACGCACCAATGAGCGCATCGGGGCATCGGGGAAATTACGCACTCTACAAGCAAGCACTGCACTGTCAATCATGCACAAGTTCAACTTGACTTAACAGATAAAAAAGGCTCAAGTTACGACTATTGAGATCGATTTTCGGCAACACCATCTCCAATTAAATAAGAGCAAATTGTTTAATTGTCCTAATGGACGATGACTTATGAATTCTGGAATAAACTCAGCCTAATGAAATGATAGAGTATATATTTAATTTTATTTATGAGTCTATCATTGCTCATCGATCGAAGTGGAACCACCCAGTTACGGGATTGTCTGCCTGAGACTCACTCGTCAAACGGTTTGTGTTGTAACGTGAGAAAGTGCTCAAGGCTTGGAGGCGGAGACTCATTTATGGGTGGCAGTCTTACACGTCCCGTCATGTTCTTCAGAAGTGACACCGTGTGTGGAGCGTGTGCGGTGTAAGTTGGACAGTGTTCTCTGTGTAGCGAGCATGAGTCACGAGCTTGTGGTGTGTGCACGGACAGAATTGATGAGGCGGCTGGATGGAATCTGCAAGGTTACTTTTTCAGTTCTGCGCAGGATACTTATACACTGCACATACATGCATCGCGCCGCTGTCACCGCTTATTACCATGTACCTACGCACATGCATAACACATCTGATGCATTCACTGACCGACTGCACAGTCTGTGTGTTCTTAATGATACAAACATCACAGAGACCATGTGTGATGTCTCCTCTATGGTAGGCCTAAACGAGAACACAAGAGAACAGGCCAAAGATCGAAGTAGGGCTATGGTTAAGGCCATCTGAAAGTCACTCAAACGTTTCATTTGATGATCTCGGGACTTCTCATTTAATAGGCTTAATAGTTGGTCATTAGACGAAATAACTGTTTTGCACTAACCATAATGACCACAAGAATTCAATGTAAATTAAGCCTAAACTATTGTGGAGATCTGGCACGCCAAATTCTGTGATGTTTGCAAATGAATGGTGCAACTCCCTCCCCAAAGCTTCACATTTTTTATTATTTTATAGTTTAGTCTGTTTCACAAAGAGCCTCTAGAGCTGAGCTCCTGGGTACTTTCACATATTATAGCATTAGGTCTTTCCCTGGTTGTAGGCCTATAGGCTTACCTGTTTTTGTAACACAGCCAATGCTAATTGTTTCGGATCTGTAAGTCGAATTTCATATATGCCTAAATATAGCCTAATCCTTTTTTTTAGGCTAAATATTTTTCAAATATCAGAAAAAGTGAGCGAGTCTAAAATCCCCCAGTGTGCGCTCACACAACAACTGCCCCTTCAACATGAACGTAGACAGCACAGAAGCGCGTGTCTCCCCTCGTGTGGATGACAATTGAAACTACAACAGTACGTTCAATAGTCAAGTGAAGATGTGGGGAAAACACTGAATGTGTGTCTTTATTATTGATAATAAATAATAATGCATTGGATTTATATAGCGCCTATGAAGACACGCAAAGCAGGTAACACTGCATCATTCATTCACTGTGCACGTGGTTTTGGAGGTAAGCTACTATTATTGCCCCAGCTGCCCCGGGGCAGGCTGATGGAAGCGAGGCTGCCAATCTACACCATTGGCCCCTCCAACTACCACCAATCACTCACCTATCACATTCATCATGGCAAGGTGGCGATAGGATTAGTGCCAACACTGCTGCCAACACTGCTGCCAACACTGCTGCACTAATCACGTATTGGTCTGGATTATTGCATTACTTTAAAAAAAAAAAAAAGATTACAAGGCTATATTAGGCCTACCAGGAAACAGCTATAGTATTAATCATAATAAAGCTAAGGTTATTTCTTCTAAATCAAATGGGCCTATTGCCCACAACATCTTTTAAAACCAACGAGTTGCCTATACCTGCACACACAGGCTACCTCCTTATTTGACAAAATGTTTCAATATTATGTAAATATCAGAGTGTGATAAGAAAGCACGAAAGCACTATACCTTGCCTAGGGAAAGAGAACTACAGTTGGAAACTAGCTGTGTAATACTGGCATTAAAAAAAAAAAAAAAAAAAAAGCTAAATACAGTAAACAAAATAGATAGAAAACAGACTGTAAAATATGCCAAGAGTTACAGTCCATGTAGGCCTAGATACATTTAAAGTTGTGTGAACCTCAATAGCTCAATAGCATATATATATATATATATATATATATATATATATATATATATATATATATATATATATATATATATATATATATATATATATATATATATATATATATATACACATAGGTAGTAGGTAGCCTACTACATGTGCTATTTCATGTTTTCCCAGCTCGTCTCCCTGCGCCCGAAAAGCACGCCGCTGACGTAAACTCTCGGTGAGCGAAAAAAGTGACGCTCGCACAAGAAGCCGGAGCTTTGAACACAAGGGGGAATAGCGTTTTCTTTATTTTTTCTTTTATTTGTACTCTTTTATTCTTTCATGTTTGGTTGTTATTTTTCCGTGCTACAGTGATTGATTCGTTTTTTTTTTTTGTTTAAAACCAAGCGCTTGCAACCTGAGTGAGTAATGTTAACGCCACAGCTCGCTCACACGGCGCTATTTTGACAGCATCGGGGTCGCAGTGAACCAACTCGAGCTAGCACCAATCTATTAGCATTGGTAAGTCATTCGAAGCTAGCCACCTGGTAGCATCTTATTTAATAACCTGGCGCGTAAAGTGTGTACTTTTGTAACGGGGTCATTATTAGCTTGTGCTACCTTTCTGTCTAAGCTGACATTTATCTATAATAAGAACTATTGACAAGTGGTAGCTGGTGCAGAGTAAAAATATCAAATAGCTAGTGGGCTACTGTGCTAACATTAGCTAGGTGGCTATCATGGCTATAATGTTAGGTACTGTGGGAGCTAATTATACTTGCCCAAAGGAGGCAAGCTAACCGTGTGTTAGCTATTGTTAGCGTAAGAATATGTCAGTATTTTAAACCATCCGCAAAACTACTGGCCCAAACGAATCATATTTGTTTTTTTTACAGACAAAACCTGAAGATTCATCTGAGTCGTGACGCGAAGCCAACACATAGGTGAGCCGAACACTCATCATTTCAGATGACTTAAAATCGATTGTTCTTAATTTCCAGTCCCAAAAGAAATATAGCCCAACGCACCGTGTTTTAATACATTGTTTTCCATGATCACACGAGCTTGTCCTGATAAGGTTTTGTCTTGCGACTCTTAAGAAACAAGTGCTACACTTAAGTCACATGGAGGACTGGAGCTGCAAATATAACCATTCATTTGCTAATCAGTTAATCGAACAATTATTCTATAGATTAATTTATGAGTTGTTATAACTGTGAGAGGCCTGTGGCTATGAGAGTTTCACTAAATCTGACCCAGAAAAACTTCCAAGTCATATTTAGACCATACTGATGAGTATATTTACAGATAAAAATGTTTTTTTTTTAATTAAAACATCAATGTTAACAATTCCCTGTCTCATTTTGATGTAATTGCCGTTCTGTCATTAAACCTTTTCTTCAAGTACTGTGTATTGTTCAGACGGTGATTACTTAATTATCAGACAATTATTTCAGTAACTGATTAGTTTCAATTAATTGATTAACTTTAACTACAGATGATTAACAGGACTTATTGTTGGATAGCTTGTAGTAATGTTTCAGTGGAAATTCTATGAATTTGGACCATATCTAAAATGTAACACATTTTGGCCTTTAATGTTAGCCAATTAACCAAATGTTGATTGATTTATACATTGGCTAGTAACACTTTTACTTTGGTCTGGTACATTCGTGCACAGCCTTCATGTAGCCTATTTTACCACAGTGGGGTTCATCATTTCGTTAGGGCTAATTCCGCAATAGACATTCTTTAAAACAGTTTGATAAACTGCTCTCATGGCTTGTAAAACACAAATAAAAAGTGTTGTTGACGAGTCGAGTGTTTTCCTTTGTCAACAAAGCAAACTACATGTCTGCTTGTCTCTATGTTGATGCTAATATTGTACTTAACCTGGAATGTTCCACAGTATGGCATTAAATGTATACAGATTGAAAAGTTAATTGCGTAATCACAGCTAATCAATTATTGACATGATCGCCAACTAATTTAGTGATTAAATAAGCAAAATCTAAACTGCACACAGACTCCCAAACATGCCATGTTCTGTGAGAAGAGGTTTCATGACATGCCAGAATGACATCAAAATGACAAAGGAAACATTTAGTATTCTTTGATGAAAAACCTATTTTATTTGTAATGCTCTCTATCAAGATGTCCTCAATGCTGCATCACTTAAGCTTCATCAGGGTCAAAATGAAATAAATTCTCATACACTTGAGCCTTTCACAAAAAAAATTAAAAAATAATTCATTAATTGGAAAGAATAATTGCTCATTTAATCAATTAGCAAAACAGTTGCAATTATTTCAACTTAACGTTTGTGTTGTTTAAAAAAATGAATGTGCTTGCATCTCCTCAGACACATACCCTGTATACGATGGCAACCCCTCCAGAAGAAAAGTTGTGTAGTGAATCTTTAAATATAACAATATGAATTACTATCCATCAATGATCATGATCCACATTGCCTAGTGTGAATGTGGTGTGTGCTTGATTGTTGGAGGTGGTCAGGGGGTCAGATGGCGTAGATTGTCAGCCTCGCTTGAATTGGTTTACCTCAGGGCAGCTGTGGCTACAGTAGTAGCTTACCACCACTGTGTCCAAAATGCATTCATATTAGCATCTTATTTGTAATTGTTTTATTGCAGCATTTCTCATGTAACTGCCCAGAAAATGTGTTGACTTTAGGATGTTCACAGCTCCAGTTTATTATTAGAAGACAAGGATGTCACTGCTCTTCTGTTGTTTGGTGGAGTGTAAAATGCAGATATATTTCATGTTTTTCCATCATAATCAAGAGTCTTCTTTTAATAATTATCTTGTTCAAGAGTTTAGCTTCACACCTAATGTTTTTTTTCTTTTGTAAATGTTAACTACAACAGTCAAAATCTGAAATCTGGACTAAGATGTACGGTCATTAGTTTATCATTGTGTTGCCTCGCGTTGTGGCACTTGAGCTGAAAATAGGCAGAAGACTGTTGTGCCAAACAAGGTGGGATCTCAGCACAGACTGTGAGAGCGGAGATTCAAACATCTGCTCTGCTCTGGGAAAACGCCATGTGTGTCTGTAGCACGAATATTCACGTCTTCTGGCTCTTTTGTGAATCAAGGCTGCACAAGTGACCGCTTTGGACATCACAATGAAGCAGGTCATGTCCTATTCCAATAAGACCATAGCTATAGTTTTCTTGAGATGGTGCTTTATATGGTTTATTTTGGCTGTATTCAGTTAATTTATTTTCATACTGTTTTTGTTATATGCCAGGTATTGGTCTATCTGTGCAGTTAAAGGTGCATTATGTAACATTTCTGGTGACAGTTCCATCACCTGCTTGTTTCTTTGGATATGTCATTGCTCTGCCTGGAATGTTCCACAGTATGACATTAAACAGCTCTACCTTACATTTACTCAGTTACAAAAATACCTAGAAAAACAGGCATTCTAACTGTGAGTGGGCTTGCCTTTCCAGAGATCTGACATGTCATTTGGCCTAGTTTGGTTTCCATGAAGATAGAAAGGTTCAGTGCCATACTGTGAAACATTCCAGACAAAGCAATAACATTTTCAGGGAGAAAAGCATTTGATGGACCCTCCACCAGAAAAGTTACACAGTGCATCTTTTATATCTGGGGTGATCATTTCTGTGTACGCTACTGTCTGTGTCATGAATTATTGTCTTCTGCTGCTTGTTGCAAAGCCCTATTTTTGAGAACGGGCTGGACCATAGTAGGATCTATTGCAGGTGAGTCATTGAATCAACAGTCTGCTGTTGCTTAGGCCACCAAAAAAAAACTGTATCCAGGGCCAGGCTGCCTGTGAACATGCCTCTCCTTATGGCTTGTGACATGCATTAGCCAAGTGTGATTTGTACAACGGTTGAATGATAAAACTACCATGTTTCTGAGACTGAAGTTTTGTTTGGTGCCTGTCGATAAGCCATTGTTTATTCATTCACTGCTGGAGCATGTGACATAGTGCTGAAGGTAGTCTGCTTGTACCATGTTCACTTAATGTAATCAAATGTACATATATTTGGTCTTATGCTGGATTCTGATTAACACTGAAGTGAGACCAGGAGAGGAGAGGAGGAGAAACACTACATATGTGCTAGTCCGTCAGGTATCCATAAGAGCCGCTGTGTGTGTGTGTTTGCAGCAGCAGAAGAGTGGCTTTTTCTAGAGAGATTTCAAGTGCTATTTATAGACCTCTGCCAGAGCACGGAGCGTGGTGCTGTTGCTGCTGCTTCTCCTCTCTCTCTCTCTCTCTCTCTCTGCCTTCACCACTCCTGTTTCTGTCTTCAGCTAATCACTCTGGCTCCTCTTCCTCATTCGTCCTGCTTCATCTGATCTTATGTCATTCACACCATGTTTATCAATCTGCTGTCTGTGTGTCTGTCTCTCATCGCTAGCTTTGACACAAATGTATGGACTGCAAAGAAAGGTTGCATACTGGTTGCAAATAGGCCAATCAGAAGTAGAGTTTTCTGGTTTTTGGCAAAGATTTTTGTGAAGAAGGAAATCTGTAGTTTACATTTAACTCAGAACTGCACTCTGTTAAGTGTGTGTGGTTTATCTGTGGTATCTTTGGCTGCTGATCCTTGCCCAGCCACTCCCATTCTCCTGCTTTACTTCTACACTCATTACTTTCTAATAGGGTTGTCACGGTACAAAAATTTCAGACTTGATTTTAATACTGTGAAAAAGAGTTGATAGTCAATACCCATTCCAATGCCGTGACAATAATAGAAAACACTCTTTATGTAGACAGTAGAATGCCATTTTCAACATTAAATCATTGTCCAGGTGGTCCATAAGTGTAGAGGAAAGGTTAATGTATCAGTATCAGTACCCGCTCAAATTTGCAACTAGTTTTGATGCTACTTTTATTACTGATTAATATCTGATACTGTATGTTTTGACCACTCTAGTCTAAATGTACATCCATGTTTTTGCTTAGCGCACATTGGTCAGATGAAATAAAACATAATTAAGCCTGGTGTTAGACAAACCCCCTGTGGATGAGATATAGCTTGTCACCTCCAGCTCCTCCTTTGATGCTGAACTTTTGACTACCTCTTCCATTGCCTCTTCCATTGTAGCTTCCAGGCTCTTTCTTTAAAGCAGCTGTGGGGAGATGCAATTATAAAGTCTTATGGGAGTCAGGGTTTTATTAACTAATGAGCTATTTTCTTCCCCTTTTCCTTCTTTATCATATTATACAGTGGGGTATCAAGTGTCAGTGTTAGAAGAAAGCTTGGATGCTATTATTTTTAATGATAATAATAATTTAAAAAAAGTAGTGTGGTGTGATTAGATTGAAGTTCTCTATGTAAAATTTCCACCTTTTGGGAGTAATTTATTTAGACTAGGGATGGGCATTCGATAAAATTTTTTTAATCAATCGTCGGAAGAATTAACGATCGATTATTGATTAATCATTAATGTTTTTATATTAAAATGATCATCATTATTATTACTATCTGCACTACTAATCTGCATAAATAAATTCAACTTTACGATATATAAACCGTAACGACTCTAGAGCCACATCAATCCGTTTGACATTATAATGTGTTTAATTCAGTTTTGCGCAACTCTCACAGAAACGAAACTTAAAACCGCATCGCTAATTTCCATAAACTCAGCGAAGATAAAACTACAGCTCTTGTGTCGCTGATGCGGTCAATTTCTGTCGGATTAAAAGACATGATTCAGTGGAATACAGGTTAGTGTGACCATATTTGCGTTTGTCAAAACCAGGACACCTTACGGGGGGTGGGAGGTTGGGACTCGTCATCGACATTGCGTGACTCTCACCTGGTAAAGCTTTTTCCCACTGGACACCGAAACATATGTGCTGCTTTGTACACTGTGCACATGGACTCACACTTGTCCCGAACGCAACAGAAAGCGTGGAATTTCTTGTACAAATCATCATTAA